AACTAAGAAAAAGAAGGGTGAAGGCAAAATTAATTTTCACAGTGGAGCTGGTACAGGACAGGAGACTGAACTCGGGAACAAATCCAATAAATCAGGAATGTTTGTAAATTATTTCCACCTTTGGAAAAATATTTGAAAAACATTCAAACACAAAATTTCAGTAGAAGTCAGTGGAAATTAATGTCCACCCCATTGGTTGCTCAAGAAAGTCCAAAAATAGCAGCTCAGATGTGATTATATCCAGCCAGCCTGGGTAACACAAGCACCAAATGCTGTGAAAGAGCAGGGCAAGCAGCGATTTGGCTCATTAGTGCTGATTTGTGACACCATTTGGAAAGAATCAAGGGGATTCCAGAAGAAAAGCTAACGTGGAATCAAAGCAAAAGGGTAAAGCAGGCAGTGCTGTGCTCATTAATGGCCTGCCAGCCTAACAACAAATCCAGGAGAAGAAGAGGAAAAAAATAAATGAAAGGAAAAACGAAAAAGAAGAAGCAACAGCTGATGTTGGACCCAATTATTAAAGAAGAATTATTTAATTTTGGGCTGCAATGGGCAATTTAACACTTCCTTTCTTGCCAGCAAGGAAGGGACAGCTCAATGCATTGGTTCTTCAACTGCTGGAAAGCTCAGCCATGAGAGACAGTTATTAAATATTCAAATCAGTATGGATTTATGGAAACTGTGGTTTATTGAACCTCAGGAAATGTTTTCATCCATAAGACCTCGTGACACTGATGACATGAAACCTGTGAGTCAGAGCATCATCTTGAGTGACCAAAGAAAATCGATGTTGTCCCAGAGTTAAAATCTCATCAACCACAAAGTATCAGGCTATAATTACATGAAAGCCAATTCCAGAGGTGGAACAAGTGTCTAAAATAGTCCAACAGGGATAGATTAGGCATTGGAATAGTCTGCCCCTATCCAACTCTACTCCATGTTTGATGAAACACTAACAAAGCATCAAAAGAGAATCCAGAGAGAAAAGAGGGCCTGCAAGAGAGATGGAGAAGGACTTTGGACAAGTGTGAGGAGCCACAGGAGCAGAGGGAATGGATTTAAACTGAAGAAGGGAAGGTTTAGATTGGATATTGGGTAAGAAATTCTTCCCTGGGAGAGTGAGGAGGCCCTGGCACAGCTGCCCAGAGAAGCTGTGGCTGCTTCATCCCAAGGCCAGGTTGGATGGGGCTTGGAGCAACCTGGGATAGGGGAAGGTGTCCCTGCCCATGGCAGGGGGTGGAACTGGATGATCTTTAAGGTCCCTTCCAACCCAAACCATTCCATGACCCTTAGAACTCGCTCCCTTGGAATGCAAAAACTGAATCTCCTGAAAGAAAGCAGCACCAAACATAATTTGAATGGAAAAGTGATGTTCAGCAGAAATTGATCATCTTAGGTCACATAAATCCAGGAAAAAAAAATTCTCTTTTGGTACTGAGGCTCTCAGGGTTTCCAAGCCATCCTCCCTGGATCAGTAACCTCACCTGGAGGCTTGTCTTGAGCCAGTGACTGGAGTCCACAGCAGTGTCACCAACACCCCAGCTTTGCTGCCTGAAGTCCTTAAAAAAGGAATCATCCTCTTCCCCAGGAGCTATTTACATTCCATTTTTGTTTCTCTCTCTGTCGAATTGTTTAAATTATACAGATACATCATAGCCCTACTCTTCTCCATTAAATATTAAAAGGATTTTTTTGTTTGTTTGTTTATGGATTTTTTTGCTGATTGATCTTTTTTCTTTTTTTTTTCATTTTGAAATAGAATGCAAAGAAACTACGGTGTTGAACTTTGCATTAGTGCTGCTCTACCTAAATTATTGCATTACAAACAAGCATCTTTCTTGTCTTTGCACAAAATTTTGTTTGATAATGGGAGTTTAAAATATTCTTGATATCTCACCTAGGAAGGTGTTTCTTCCAGGAAAGCAGAACTACAAACATTATAAGTATTTATATATAAATATATTTATATATTTATATATTTACATATTTATATATTTATATATTTATATATTTACATATTTATATATTTATATATTTATATATTTACATATTTATATAATATATTTAATGCAAGAACACATAGAACTATTAACAATATGTAGTGAAGTAAATAGAGCACTTGGAGGGGAACAAAAAAGAAAATTAATTTTAAAAACCCCCCACAAAACAAAATATTAGAATGGGAGATTTACATTTACAGAAACTAAGAAAAATTGGAAAGACAGATTGTATTCTAGGTCATGGCTTGAAACAGCTCCTGGGTTTCTTCATTATGGGAAAAAATCTGGGGTATGGAGGGAAGGTGTGGTTTAATTTCATCTTTATTTCTCACTACCAAATGTATTTTAATTTGCAATAAATTAATTTTCCTCGAGTGAAGTCTGTGTTGCCCATGAGGGTAACTAGTCAGTGATCTCCGTGTCTGTATCTTGACCCATGAGCTCCTTTATCCTATTTTTCCCCTCTCATGCAGTTGGGAAGGGGGGAATGAGCAGCTGAGTGGGTTTGCAGAGACTGATCCCCCATAGATGTAAAACACAGCAGCTCAAAAGTGAAATTAGAAAGTTCAGGTTCAACCACATGCAAAGGCTTAGCCCTGTTCCTGTAACTCTTCTCTTGGCTCACACATTCATGGAATCTTTCCTTTATCCTGAGATTTGACACTGCTGTCCTTGCTCCACATTCCCTTGCAGGACAGTATTTCCCTCTTCCAGAGCTATTCTCCAACCTGTCCCTTCCTCTCTTGCTTGACCAAAATATTCAGCACATGATCACTCTTTAAAACATTCCTACACAATCTGAAATTAATAATTCCACATGGAAGCTGTTTCTTTCCTTTTTTTTTTTCCTCTTGTATTTGTTCAGAACCTGGGATGCCCAAGTTGCCCATTAAAAATATATATGGCAAAATGGAGCTACAAGGAATTGGACACCAAAAAATAATACTGAAAGACTGTAACAGCAGAAACCAGCAGAGATATGATAAAAATGAAATTAGATCCACCAACCTGCATTAACTCCAGCTTTGATTTCAGCTATTAATGTGCAAATGATGACTGCTCAGATCTGCTGTGCTGCAAATTGCTCAAGTTCAGATTCACCCACCTTAATAGGAAGCTAGTAAGAAAAATGTTTTTATTCATCTCTGTTGCATTTACCTGTAAGTGATGATATGGATCATGATACAAATGCACACAAGATCACCAATTTTGATTCTTAAGACATGGACATTTAACAATTTATTTAAGTGCCATTTTTGCTACGTGCAGGACAATGTCCTTTGCTCCAGAGAAGTAAGTCCAGGCATTTTATCTCCAGAATTTCATAAATTTCAATCAGAGAGTTAAGTTTCTTCTCCTCTAGAACATCAGAAAGTTGTCAAATTCCCATTTACTGCCTTTCAACTCACTTATGTGACACCAGGTATCTCCCAAAAAAATGTTCATGTCCATGCAAGAGTACCAAAAATTACTGAAGCCATTCATTCCTCCTGCAATTTGTCCTCCTGGTTTTCATGTCCATTGCTGGAGGTGCACACATATCTTTTCTCCCCTGGCAATTGATTGTTTCCCTCTTCCAAGATTCCACCATCACCTTTTTTATTTTTTTTTTTTCCCTGAATCCATATTTCTGTGTAATTTTATGCTTGATTGTCTCTAGCATGAGGAAGCACATGATTACACGTGTGGGTTGTAACACATTTTCCCTATTAAATGTGGTAGCCTACAGTCTGCAGAAACCACTGAAAATTATTATTGGCTACAAGATTAATATTTGTGGGGGGGTTTTTTTTTTTTGTTTTTTTTTTTTTTTTTTTGGGTTTTTTTGGTTTTTTTTGGTTTTTTTTGGGGTTTTTTTTTTTTTGGGTTTTTTTTTTTCTGATTGGTTGGAGAAGGGTGTTTTTTTGGTCGGTTTGTTTGTTTGTTTTCTTGCAGAACACAAAAAAATCTTCCTAACCTGTTTTGATTTCCCTGTCCCCAGCAATCTCCATATGGGAAAGAGAATTAGGGGAAGGTTGAAAAACCCAACCCCTAGCAACCAAAACCTTGCAATTTTCAGCTCAGACTCCACTACAAATTGTGATTTCTATGACACCTGCTACCTTCCACTCACGTTTTATCAGCTCACTCTGTGCTAAGTAAATGAGTGCAGTGGTTTTAGCATCTCTATCAGGAGTTTCATCCATTAACACCACTCCTCCCAAATTCCTTCTCAAAACAGGATTCCCCAATTCCTCCTCTTCCCCACACTGAGACTCCATACACCACCACAGCATGACAGACAGATCATGGAATCATTTAGGCTGGAAAAGACCTTTAGGATCATCAAGCCAACCTTTAACCCAGCACTGCCAGGGCCACCAGTAAACCAAATCCCCTAAAAGACATCTTTTAAATTTCTCCAGGGATGGTGGCTTTCCCACTTCCCTGGGCAGCCTCTTCCAATCCTTTTTATGAAGAATTTTTTCCTAATATCCAATAGAAATGTTTCCTGGCAGAAACCTATTTCCTCTTGTCCTGTTGCTTGTTGCTTGAGGGATATGAAACACGTGTCTCCATCCTATGTCACTTAAACCATCAGCCTCTAAGGGCACAGCCTTCTCCATCTACATCTGGCTTCCCATGCAGGAAAAGAAGAGAAGAGAAAGGGAAACAGAAAATAAAAGCAGGATGAAATCCCCCTGACCCTACCTGGTCCCACTTGACCCTACAGACATGT